AGAGAAAAATAATGTCTAACTGGAGCTGGAGATATCAGAACTCTATAATTTCCCTATCTAAATTTAGATAATTGTTAGAAATAGATTTTTTCTCTGATTGAAAAAATATTCTTTTACATACAATATATCCTGATTATAGTCCTATCCTTCTCCTCCCAGGGCTTCCCTGCCTTTCCTCCCCTCTGGATCCACTCTCTTTCTGTCTTTAATAAAAAAAAACAGGCAGGCTTCTAAGTTAGCAACCAAACATGAAAAAATAGAATATAATAAGATAAAACCAAACTATCACATAGAAGTTGGACATGGCAACCCAACAGGTGGGAAAGAGTACTAAGAGTATGCACAAGAGTCAGAGACTCACTTGTTCACATAGGCACAAGTCCCATAAAAAATACTAAGCTAATAGCTCATATACATATACGTGTACTCACACACACACACATTAATATTACCTGATGTAGACCCATGTAGGCGTTGTGCTTGTTGCTTCATTCTCTGTGAGTTCATATGTGCGCTGTTTATTTGATTCAGAGGGCTTTGTTCTCCATCCCACCTGGCTCTTAACAATCTTTCTACTTTCTCTTCTGCAGGATCCCTTGAGTTCTGAAGGGAGATATTTAATGGATACCTCTAGTTTAGACTTTCTCTGCACACCATGTCTGGCTGTGAGACTGCATCTGTTTCTAACTGCCACATCAGAGGCTTCTCTGATGATGGATGACTGGATAAGGAGTTGATTTGAGTGTAACAGAACAACATTAGAAGTAATTATATTGCCTCACAGTCTGAGCTAACTGAAAGCGTCCACCGGCCAGCTTGGTGCCATTTGACATAAGCGGGCAAAAGACACCCAGGAGCCAGCCGGGGCCCTCATAGTCTGCTTTGGATGAAAGCGTCTGTGGGCCCACCCAGCTGGTTGGGTAGGTGCCATTAGGATGAGCAGACACGTGGTGGAGGAAGAGAGGCTTCTCACTTCATATGCTTTGGAGAGAGGCCGGACTGCAGAGGTGAACGCGGTTGGGAACACTGTTGTGGGTGACTCCTTCTCACGGAGTGGGCTTTTAGTAAAGTCAGATTGGTGGGCTACTCCTACAACTTCTATGCTACCATTGCCCTACATTAAAAATAGGGTTTCTCTTTTAGGGTAGGTAATACTGTAAAAGTATTTCAAATTATGACATTTGAAATAAGATAAAAGTCTCTGACCTGCATAAACATTTTTTCTTTGTGAATTCGTCTAACTGGATAAAAGTTAGGTTATTTTCAGCTGTAAAGTGTATATGGTCATCAACTATAGCTACAGAAAACCACAACCAATCAAAACTCAGAGTTGTGGGCTCCTGTCCCAATGCAAACATCTACAAAACTCCCCTACACCTGAGACTCAGGGATCACTGTGGAAGAGGGGCTGGAAAGATTTTCAGGTCCAGATGATCAGCGGGTTTGCTTGCTCCTAGTTATGCTAGAAGCTGCAACCGTAAAGTCTCACCAACACAGCTGATCAAATGTCAGCTGAGCAAGGATGACATGAATGGACATGCCAAAATGGACAGACAAGAGTCCACGAGACCACAACTCTACATGAAACTAAGAAAACCTGGGAACATATGAGGTGACCCTTCTCAGGGAAGACAATACCAATTGGTTGTCTAGTACTAAAGGGTCATTCCTGAAAACATACATACAAATAGCATTACACAGACTTGTCAGGTCATATTTATGAAAAAAGAATATATGCTCATGTAATAAGAATTAGTGAACATGTAACAAGCTATTTAAAATTAAAAAAAATGATTAAAAAAAGAATTAGTGAAAAGAGAGACCATGAATTTGAAATAGAATGGAAAAATGTATACAGGGAGTTTTAAATGGGGCAAAGGAAGACATAAATATTGCAATTAAATTAGAATCTCAATAATAATAATAATAATAAGATATTAGTTTTCAATTATAAAGTACAAAAGATCACCAACTATATATCTTATTGTTATTGATCACTTGAATGTGATAGTATATAATATTGTTTCTGAAGAGGTAATCATCCTTACATGTTATTAAACATATTGTATATTGTGAAGTAGTATTTAGTCCAAGTGTCTTAATTTCACTTGGACTTAACTGTTGTATTTAGTTAAAAGTGTATTCATAGGACAAGGATTGGTTTTGTCTCTCATTTCAGATGCTTCAGTCCACAATAGCATTGAGCATGTGGCAGAGGACAACAGAACACTTCACATCATGTTAGAGATGGTACAGAATGAGAATGGAAGGCTCTGGATGTAATATACCTCCAGGGACCTATCCCATTATTGACTTCCTACAGACAGAGTCCACCTCCCCAAGGTGTCCATAACCTTCTGTCTTGTAGCATCAGCTAGGACAAAGCATGAAAATCATGAGAATTGAGGTGGAGGAGGGAGAAGAGGTACATTGTGGATTCCAGCTGTAACATGGTCTCTCAGTTATATTAAACAGACAGGAAGCAGAAAGGACCATACGGTGAAGTCTTGGCAGAAATATAGCAACCAGAACAAGGCCAACCTGGAGATTCTGAATCTCTTTTGGTGAGTGACCAGACTCTTATTTCCACCAGGTGGTTTCGAGGTGCCCAGATTTATGGTGAATAATATGGTAAATAATCTCAAATTCCCTTTTATTAGAAAATCAGAGCTAGCTTTTCCAGGAAATTTTTGAATTGCCAGCTCTACTGTGAGTGAAATTGTACCCCTGCCGAATAACTAATCAGGCACATTAATCAATCCGAAAAACCCTAAGTCTTCGAAGCCCATCTCTGTGCTGGATCTCCTCAACATCTGAGTGACACTAGCAAAGCCAAGAGCTATTCTTTCATTTAATTACTTGTTAGCTAGCATTAACTATGGAGATCTGTGTGCGTCCAGTTTTTCTTTTTTGTCTAGAAGGAAACAAAGGACAATTCATGGTCTGAGGATATTGCATCTATGGAGCAATTCGCTTGCCTTATTCAAGTGATTTGTGTATGTGCTTGGAATGTTGTCTTTAAAGAATAATTGTGCAGCTGTTGTTCACTGTCAGTTTAGGTGTACGTGATTTAGTAGAGACAATATGATGCTATGGTCATGGCTTAATAGACCAAGTGAATAGATAGGGTGTGCTTAAAATGGGAGCCTTTTAAAATGCAGTAGTTACTTCACTCATCAGGCATTTGTGTCAGGTACAAGAGCCTATGGTCCTAGATAATAAAAGCACAATATTTTTGTAATCAAATCAGTAATCCTTTCAAGATGAAAGCAGGCCCCATGGCTGGACAAATATGAAAGATAAATACTCCTCCTTTACCATTTATTGGAATTTTGAAAGCACTGCCAAGGAAGTGTAATTGGCACTACAAGCCTGCTTGTTTTACAAAGTCTCATCACTTTTTATTATGGTTGAAATTTATTCCTATTCTGGACTAGTCTCATCGCATCACTGTGTGATTATGTCATTTCGATTCACCATCTATCTGGAATCGGGTTATGGATGTATGCTTTCTGATTCTAGCCTTGGCAAATGGATGTCTCTGAGAAGTCACATCAGGGAGAAAGATACTAGGGCTAGATTTTTCAGGACAAAAATCAGTCTAGTAGCAATACACAGTTTAGCCATAGCATATTCTTTCTGAGTCTTAACAATTAGTCTTTTAGGTTAGAGAACAAAATAGTGAGCATCTTCAAATGTGTTTTTTATACATTTTCTCAGTCATTACCCTCTCTCTATGTCCCATAAAAACTTTCTTTACCTCCGTCTGCTACTTTTTTCTTCTTGTTAGTCCCCCTTTCTGCTTCTTACATGCATGTGTTCTATTACTCTTGGTATTTCCTGCTTTTCTTTCTTCTCCTGTCATGATCTTCTTTCTAGATTCTTGACTTAACAACACACATATGTAAACACACACACACACATACACACACACACACACAGGTTGCACAAAAGAGAGAACAAAATATTCCTTATTTGTCATTCCGAGTCTGTCTTATTTTGCTTAATGGTGTTTTCTAGTTGCATTGAATTTCCTGAAAATTCTGTAATTTTATTTCAAAGGACAGTTTATCATTTTGGGTCAAGATAAAAAGATTATTCTCAAAACTACCATAAACAGGATGATTTAGATGCTAAAGAGAAGACAAAGTATTTGAGAAATGTATCCTTTCATAGCTATTGTAGAACAGAAAGGTCCATCTGCCTGATTTCTAACTTCATATCACCAAAAGAAGCCTGCTTTGTCTTAAAACTCAGGTGACTGCTTGGGTGCGAAATACCACTCCTCTAGATTCTGTTGTCTTTAAGAGAAAGGGCAAGAAGTTTCTATCTTGCCTTTGGCTTAAATCCTTATTTGGTTATCTTGGATTATCATTTTCTTAGGGGAAAGTTGGGAATAATAATTAGTGTAAAAAGATGTTCTCTCCTACTGATGAATATCATGATTATTATCTTCAAACTGCTCTGTTCCCCAAAGAAAATAATATTAGCAAAAATGCTGAGATAATTTGAGTGGAACTGGTCCATTTATTCCCAGTGAGTCTTTCTCAACAAGATGGAGAGGTGAGGTGCAGTGCCTTTTCTTATAGTGAAATACAGTTTATATTCCAGAACACCAGTAAACATTTCTGTTTCCAAGAGAAGTACAGTGTTAGTGTTACAGTTTCTCTAAAGAGAAGTCAGTTTGGCCAGTCCCATCAGGCTTCAGGCACAGAAGGCTTATCCAGCTGGTTTCAGAGTATCACACAGGGAGATTCTCCTGCGGTAGGTGTTTTTTTTTTTTTTGTTTTGTTTTGTTTCTTTTCTCATGAGGCTTAAAATATGCATATTTCCTGGAAATGCCATAGATATTTTTAGAGGCAATAAAGCGGTGTAAAAAATTACTTGATGACCTTTTTGATTGTCATACAGAGACAGCTTCCTTGGGGATTTCTAATTATAAACAATTAAATGGCAACCAAATTGCATTAAAAGTGCCTTCTTCCTTAGAACGCAACATTTCTAACAAAACTTGAAACAGACCTCAAGGATGGATGTTTTTCTATTTTTTATGAGGTTTGAAAAATCTCCAGAACTTGGACCTGGAGCGATTGCTTAGTGGTTCAAGACACAAGATGCTCTACCAGAAGACCCGTTTGGATCCTACCACCACCACAGCAGAAAAACCCATAACTGCCTGTAATGCCAGCTGTGGGAACTCAGACACTCTCTTCTGGATGTTGCAGGTACCCACACTCACCTGTGCATACCCACACACAGATGCACCCACGCACATAATCAACGTATAATAAAATAAACCTAGAAGATTTCCTAAGACACTGGCTCTAAATTGCCTGTGCATCTCCTCTTCTCACTCATTTTAAATTCTTTTAAAGGGGAAAGGTCTCTCAAACAAATAAACTAAAGGGTGGTAGTTCAGCATTTAGACGAAAATGGCTTTTTCTATGCCTTCAACATCTTAGACCAAGTTATTAAGTATATATCATTTTTTTAAAAAAAATATGACTTAAAGTTTGGAGAGATGGTGTGGGGATTAAGAGCACTTGCTGCTCTTCCAGAGGATCTGAGTTTGGATATGCATAACTGCCTGTAACCTCAGCTAAAGCACCAAGGTATCTGATGCTATCTTTTAGCCAATGTGGGCATCCATACCTATGTGTTCTTATTCACATACTAACACACATACATAAAATTAAAAACACTCATTTAAACACTATTGTGATGCACAATTCATTTATAGTGTTGGTTCTTTAAAAAATCTATCACACTTCAAGATTTTATTCATTCTTTTCTAGTTAAAATTAGTAGATTTTTGAATGGTATAAAATATGCATTTAGCAAAATATGGGACACAAATAGTGAACTTGTCTTAGATAAATTCAAAGAGCAAAGACTATATTTTCTTAAGAAAACTTTCAGCTTTTACCAACATTATTATGAAACTGACAACTTCGTAGCAAATGTTCAAATATACAGGTATCTTTATATTGTTTCAATAAATGACCATGTTTTTTTAAGATGTTGAATTCTGTAGTAAAGAATTGCAGTGTTTGGTCTGTTACAAATGTGTGTGTGTGTGTGTGTGTGTGTGTGTGTGTATGTTATTGAAATTGCCTGCCTTCCTCAAACTTCTTTTGTTCATAAAACAATTCTTTGAGTGATTATCAAGCATGCCAGGTCCTCTTCTAGACATATGAGGCTTTCTTTTCCACGTAGAAAATGTGTGCATGGAGTCAGAATGTCTTTAAGGTCTCCTTCAGCTTTAAAACCATGTCTAGGAAAGAATTCACCATTTCTCTTTACAGGCACTAAAGAGGCCCCTTGGATTTCCTCTGGAGAGCTGAACTGAAATCAGATATTTGAGAAAAGATGTGAAAGAAAGCAATAACTCCCTTAGAATTGTTAAAGGTCCTCTGATGATTGTAATGGAAAATGAGTCAAATGGCATTTGCAGCTTGAGGGAGAGGTTTGGGAAAGAATGTGCACCCCAGGGCTCACTCCCACACAGAACAACAGCAAACTGCTGAGACTTGTCACAGCAACAAGGAGGAGTGACAGCTCCTATAGCAGCATGAACACTCCCAGTACACAGATTCTGGAGGCGCACAGCTAGTTAGGGTGAGTGAAGTCACACACACACACACACACACACACACACACACACAGAGAGAGAGAGAGAGAGAGAGAGAGAGAGAGACAGAGACAGAGACAGAGACAGAGACAGAGACAAAGACAGAGAGAATACAAAAATATACACAGAGAAAGAGAGACAGAAGCATACCCATCCCCCACAGAGCCAGCCAGTCAGCCAGCCAGCCAGTCACATATACACACACACACACACACACACACACACACACACACACACAGACAGACAGAGAGACAGAGAGAGACAGACACAGAGGAACAGAGACAGAGAGAGAATATATACATACACACAGAGAAAGAGAAAGAGACAGAGACATACCCATTCCCTAACAGAACCAGCCAGCTAGCCAGCCAGTCAGCCAGACACACACACACACACACACACACACACACACACATACACACCATTCTCCCCACAAAGACAGTCATGCATGCACATGTGCAGAGAGAAAGAGACAGAGAGACACACACACCTTTCCCCAATATCTATCTATCTATCTATCTATCTATCTATCTATCTATCTATCTATCTAAATATATAGAGAGGAAGAAAGAAAGAAAGAAAGAAAGAAAGAAAGAAAGAAAGAAAGAAAGAAAGAAAGAGAGTGGCGGAGACACAGACATGCAAAGAGCATGGATAAGCCAGCTCAGTGAGATCCTTCTTTTTAAAATGACGTTTAGGGTCTCCAGAAGGGTCCCCTGTGCAAGTGTGGATTTCTTTCTTTCTTTCTTTCTTTCTTTCTTTCTTTCTTTCTTTCTTTCTTTCTTTCTTTCTTTCTTTTTTTTTTTTTTGGTTTTTACCAGACAGGGTTTCTCTGTATTGTTTTGGAGGCTATCGGTCCAGCCTGGCCTCAAACTCACAGAGATCCGCCTGCCTCTGCCTCCGGAGTGCTGGGATTAAAGGCGTGCACCACCACCGGCCGGCTCAAGTGTGGATTTCTTATGTCAGCACCAGTCACCTTTCCTGTATTCTTTTCAAGACTCGGCTGTCACTTCAGATTCAACAGCCTTTTAGGAATACCTAATTGGCAGTCCTTGCTTCTGATCTAAGGTTGAACCCGGGACTCTCTTATTAAAAAGTAGTGTGCTTATTTGGAAACGGTGCTATTCCAGTGGCCTAGAGTACCACAATGAACGCCCTGTCAGGAATCACTTTCACCAATGTTATCATATATTCATTTTGATGGTCTCCAAGCAATAAGCCTCTTGTTGGCTGCTGGTTCAGTGTCACAGTGATGAGCTGTATTCTAAAATGGAAACATTTGGTACCAGATTTTAATTAATCAGGCTTACAAGTAATGGATATTTACATGCCAGGTGATATATCTCAAACTCAATTGGGCAATAAGTTTTAATAAGAAAAAACTTTACATATAAGGTATTCTAAAAAGATATAAATCATTATTTCTTAACCAAAGACAAAGAAGATTCACTAGACAGAAATATTATTGCAGGCGAAGGAGTTTCATGTGCAAAGCCACTGAACTGGACTGAACTTGGGTAATGTGGTAGTTTTAATGCAAATGGCCCCTGTAGGCTCATGTGTTAGAAGGTATGGTTTCCAGTTGATGGAAGTATTTGGGAAAGATTAAGAAATGTGGCTGTGTTGGAGGAGGTATGTTCCTTGTGAAGACTCTGAAGTTTCAAAAGATTCCAGCTACCTATCTGTCTCTCTCTCTCTCTCTCTCTCTCTCTCTCTCTCTCTCTCTCTCTCTGTATTGTAGCATTTGTATCTCCAGATATGAGCTTTCAGCTCCAGTTCCTGCTTCCCTGCTACCATGCTCCTTGCCGTGATGCCAATGGATTCACTCTTGGAAATTGTGAGCTCCATATAAGGTCTTTCTTCTATAAGGTATCTTGACCATGACATCCTATCATAGCAATACAAGGGCAATATGACAGACGATCAAAGAACAGCTGGCTAGCTATCTGAGGCTGGAGTGGCTTAAGTTTCTAAGAAGAGACCAGGAAAGCCTATTAGCAGTAGAGCTTTGATACAGTGAAATTAATGGTAGATTTTTCGTATTAGTTTAGAAAGAGAAAAAGTGACTAGTATCTACATTGTTGGCTTGACCAATTTGGAAGATGGGTAAAATTTAATGAAATGAGGGGAAATGGACAAAGAGAGTAGAGGAATGGGGATCAAAATCCTTTGTGACTAATTATTGCAAAGCTAAAAATCAATGGAAGAGAAGTATTGAAATAGCTATAATTATGCTATAAAATTAAGAAATAATTTGTCATTTCAGTGGTGTTGAAAAAGAGTGACAGGAGAAAAATTAATGTTGATTATCATTAAATGAGGCAGTTATTTTTAGGTGAATTATCAATCTAATAAATGGTGTTGGGGCAAGTACCTATATGGATAGAAAATAATGTCCACTGTTTTCTCACTGTGAACACAATGAAAATAAGATTGAACAGGGACTTCACTGTAAGATCAAGCTATTGAATGTTTAAAAGACAAAATCTTCATCATGTTGAATCTGGTATTCCTTAAACATGAAAACATGAAAAAAAAGCCAAAATTGTGGGAGAAATAGTAGAATTCCTTGATCAAGACTTGGGTATAGTGAGACATATCTGAAATTATAGTATCCAGGAATCAGATGCAGTAATAATGGGCATACCACAAGGTCAGCTCAGAGAAAATTGAAGAGATTCTATAACCTCAAGAGGTATGCAATGAGCCAACATATCCCATCATATAAGTTTTTTTAATGTATTATAGTATAAGGTTGATAAGACATGTTAAACTACAGGTGAATATTTGCAGTATGCATGACTGACAAAGGCTAAGGACAACCTAGTGAGCAATAAAGATGTATGAGAAAAAGAAGAGTAGCATGTATAAGCAGGAATGAGACAAGACCACGGCTCACTGGCCAGCAAGTGAGTGAAACAAAGCCAGTCTCACAGAAGCGAGGGAAACGGACATCAAAGTGAAATAGGACCATTTTTTGTCTATTAGACTTGAAAATTTAAAAGAGCAATTACTACAGGGCTAGTAGGAATGCAGGGAAATGAGCCATTTCATAATGTTGCTGGAGCAGTATGGTTCCTGAAACCTCTAGGGAATTCACTTGGAAATATTGTTATAGTCAGAATGCACATGCGTTTTAATCTTACTTTGGGAATGTGCCTTCTAGACACGAAAGGGGATATATGTGCAATGATAATTGCTGAAGAATAGTCAAGACGAGAAAGAAGATGAAGCAACTTGGAAATGATCTGAGTGAAAAAAATGACTAGGTTAAACATGGAGCATTGATGCTATGCATTGTCACATAAGTATCTAAAAAGGAGATAGTGATTAAAAGCCCAAGTTGAATGATGTAACCTTATTTTTATAAAACTTCCTGCCATCAGAAAGTGACACAGACACACACAGAGACACACACACATACACAGGTGTGTCTATTCTTGCATCTGAACTCCCTTGGGTTTCTGAAGAGATGAGCAGACTGTAAGTGCCAGAGGCATCACCTGAGAATGAAGCTGGTAAGAGTGTTGTGCCCAGATTCTGAACCCCCAAATCACTAAGAGACCCATTCTGATGCAAAAGTAGAGAGCCTTT